TGCATCTTGTAGATAGTACACACTGCTGCTACCAAGCATTGGTTGCGCAGGGAGCAGCAGGCTGCTTTATCCTGAAGGTATCAAGCTTCTTGAGTTTTGCTAGAGCTGCACCCATCCAGGCAGATGGCAGTATTCCATCACACTGCTGACTTGTGCCTTGTAGATGCTGGACTGGCAAGTGGAGAGTCAGGAGGCAAGTTACTCGCCACAGTATTCCTAGCTTTTGACCTGCTCTTGTAGTTTATGAGGCGAGTCCAGTTGAGTTTCTGAATGGTGGTAACCCCAAAGATGTTGATAGTATGGCAATCAGTGATGGTAACACCATTGAATGTCAAGGACTCGTGGCTAGATTATCTGTTATTGGAGATGGTCATTGCTTGGTATTTGTGTGGCACAAACGTCACTTGCCAATTGAAAGCCCAAGCCTGGGTATTATCCAGGTTTTAGTTGCTTTTGAACGTGGACTGTTTTCAAATCTGAGGAGTCATGAATGGTGCTGAACATTGAGCAATCATCCGTGAACATTCCCCCTTCTGATCTTGTGATGGAGGCAAGTACCTGAAAAATGGTCGGACCTAGGACACTACCTGGTGGAACTCCCTCAGAGATGTCCTGGAGCTGAGATGACTGACCTCCTACAACCACAACCAACTTCCTATGTGTCAGCTATGACACCAACTAACAGGGATATTGGTGGAGCCTCCTCGTCCAGTAAGTTGTTTAATTGTCCACCACTATTCATGAATGGATGTGGCAGGACTGCAAAGCTTAGATCGAATATCCATTGATTCCAGTTTTGCTAGGGCTTCTTGATGCTAAAATTGGACAAATGGAACCTTGATCTCAAGGCTGTTGCTCTCACCTCACCTCTGGAATTCAGCTCTTTTGTCCATGTTTGAACCAAGGCTGTAATGAGGTCAGGAGCTGAGTGGCCCTGGCGGAACCCAAACTGGGCGTCACTGAGCAGGTTACTGCTGAGCAGGTGCTGCTTGATAACACTGTTGACTACACCTTCCATCACTTTACTGATGATCGAGAGGAGACTGATGGGGGGCACCGGGGGATTAATTGGCATTTACCTGACAATATGGAAACTTGCCAATGTTCTAGCTATACAGGAACAGCTTGGTTAGGGGCATGGAAAGTTTTGGAGCACAAGCCTTCAGTACTATTGCTGAAATGTTTTCAGGACCCATAGCCTTTGCATTATCCGGTGTCTCCAACCATTTCTTGTTATCACATGGTATGAATTGAATTGACTGAAGACTGTCATCTGTGATCTGGGGACTACTGAAGAACGCCATGATGAATCATCCACTTGGCACTTCTGCCTGAAAATTGCTGCAAGTGCTTCAGTCTTACATTCTGATGTGTTGGCTCTTCCAAGATTGAGGATGGGGATATTTGTGGAGCTTCCTCCTCCTCCAGTGAGTGAATTGTCTACCACCTTTCACGACTGGATGTGGCAGGACTGCAGAGCTTAGTTCTGATCCTTTGGTTGTGGGATCACTTAACTTTGTCTATCACTTGCTGTTTACGCTGTTTGGTATGCAAGTAGTCCTGTTTGGTGGCTTCACCAGGTTATACACAGTGCTACTCCTGGCATGGCCTCCTCCGTTGAACCAGGGTTGATCCCCTGGCTTGATGGTAATGGTTGAGTGGGGGATATGCTGGGCCATGTGGTTACAGATTGTGCTGGAGTACAGTTCTGCTGCTGCTGATGGCCCACAGCGCCTCATGGATGCCCAGTCTTGAGTTGCTAGATCTGTTCAAAGTCTGTTCCAATTAGCACAGTGATTGTACCACTCAACACAATTAATACAAAGTATGTTGTGTAAACACAAAATCAGCTATAATTAAATATTCCAAAAACTATGTTAGCAACAATACAATTATTTATATTGTGTCTTAAATATGATAAAACTTCCCAAAGCGCTTCACAGCAGCACAACATCACAAAGTATGACATCAAGCCTCGTCACAAGGAGATATTTGGACAGATAAGCAAATACTCAAAGAAGTAGATTTTCAGGAGTGTCTTAAAGGAGGAAAGTGAGGGGGAGAGGTGTGGGATGGACATTCCAGAGTTCAGGCCGTAGGGCAGCACAGTGGCTCAGTGGTTAGCGCTGCTGCCTCACAGCTCCAGGGACCCAGGTTCAATTCCAATCTCGGGCGACTGTCTATGTGGAGTTTGCACATTCTCCCCGTGCTCTGGTTTCTTCCTGCAGTCCAGGGATGTGTAGGTTAAGTGGGTTAACCACGGGAAATGCAGGGCTATTGGGATAGGGCGGGCTACTCTTTGGAGAGTTGGGTGGACTTGTTGGGCCAAATGGCCTGTTTCCACACTGTAGGGATTATGGAAAATAAAACTATGCTGCAATCAAAACTGGGGATTGTACAAGAGGCCAGAATTAGAGGGCACCATGAGATTACAGAGCTAAGGTTCCACCAACATCCTGGAAGAAATCAACAAACACCAGCGATAAAACAAGCCAGTGATCAAACTTGGGGTCTGTGATATAATAACAAGATACATCTTTTTTACCTTAGTAAGCCATAAAATACTGCACAGCCTGATCTAGCTGTATTATGAATGGAATTCATGTCATAGACTGGATATTTATGCAGGAATGACAACAACAAAATCACAATGAGAGTTGGGAATGAGACAACAGTTTATCTGCAAAAGGGAACTCCATTACATCAATAGCCCACAATAGGAGGTTTGATTTTTTTTAAACTACTGCAAATATGGCCTAAACATTGAAACAAATAATTTTACCAAGGACAGCATTCTTGCTTACTCATGGCCTAAGGGAGGGGGTGCACTAGGTGCAAAACCAGGGGGTCTATACCCAGGAGGAGGGGGTGGCCTAGGCTTGAGCAATATTCTCCACACATATGGTTCTGACAAATAGTTACTTTCTATATGAAAAATTGATACTGTGCATCATTAGTTAATCATTTCAGTGTTTAAGTCAGCTTTCATTTCCTTCTACCACCTCCCACTTATTTCCTGTACCAACGACAAATGGGTGTAGGGGGCAGAAGATCACGAAGAGGATGGGAGAGCAGTGCTTGCTTAATGGGAGCTTTTGGCTTTCCATTAGTCACTAGCACTATCCATCAATCAAACACCTGCACAGGGTTGATTAGTCTGGCGTGGGCGGGCACAGACATGCACAGGGTGGGCAGCAGGGCCCGATATCAGCCGAGGATGGTGTGGTAGTGGGAGGCTGAAATCTGACTGATGGGAGTCTATTGCAAAACATACTTGACATCTGCGCACTCTTAATCATTCACATTGATCTGGCTATATGCACTACAAAGTCAAAATGTAACTGTGAGTCTACAAATCTGGATCATTCCTATAGACTTTCTGCTTCGTGCAAACCAAAAATTCAAGTTTGCAAGTGTGAAGTTAAAAAAGGTGACATATTTACTTCATCATTTTCCCTTACAGGTTCCTCGCCCAATTGGATAAATTGATTATTTGGTCCAGAAATATTTTGGAAAGCTAATGCCATAGAACTATAAAAATATATAAGCAAGAGTAAGCCATTCAGCTCTTGGAGACTGCTCCACCCCTCAACACAATCATGGCTGATCATCCAACTCAGCACCCTGTTCCCAATTCTCCCCATACCCTTTGATCCCTTTAGCCCCAAGAATGATACCTAATTCCTTCTTGAAAACATTCAATGTTTTGGCCTCAACTTCTTTCTCTCACAGGGTCACCATTGCCTCAACTCAGTCCTAAATGGCCTCTCATGTCCTTAGACAGTGACCCCTAGTTCTGGACTCCCTGGTCATCAGGAACATCCTTCCTGTGTTTATCCTGTCTGATCTTGTTAAAATTTTATAGGTTTCTAGGAAATCCCCCCTCATTCTTCTAAACTTCAGTAAATATAATCCTAACCCATCCCTTCTTTCTACATATATCAGTCCTATTACACCAAGATTCAGTCTGGTAAACCTTCACTACACTTCCTCCAAAGCAAACATATCATTCCTCAGAAAAGGAGAGCAAAACTTCACACAATACTTCAGGTGTGGTCTCACCAAGGCCCTGTATAATTGCAGCAAGATATCTCTGCTCCTGTACTTGAATCCTCTTGCTATGAAGACCAACATACCACTGGCCTTCTTGACCACCTGCTATAGCTGCATGCTTACTGTCCTGTCACTCAGAATGGAATTTTACTTCTGTTAGCCATGCCAAGAGAATTTTCTTGTTTTGAGCTCCATTATAAGTGTAATTAACTTGAATTAAGTTGCTTTTATAGAAAGATGTAAAACTTGCATTCATTTTGCTGATCACTGGGATGGAATTAAAACCTTCACAATTAATTGAATGTGTTGGACTGTGCTTCGTGTTGACCTCATATTTAGTCCAAAAAATGTAACTTGCTGTTATATGCTTGTACAACACCAGACAAATTTCAATTAATTTGTAGTTATATTTTGAATTGATTTTTAAAATATATCATTTGAACAACAGTATAACCATTGTTTGTGATCACAATTTGTTACATCATGGGATCAGTGGATTCAGCATGAGAAGCACCAGGGCTAATGATGGTCTCCCTTCTCCTGCTGCTACATATTACTTGAAACCATTGATGTAGTGCATTTTTGATACAGGTAGCAATTCTGGATTCACAAGAATAAAGACGCATACCAGGCTCTCAAAACCTGTACCAGTCATTTATAAAATGGTTAAAATGAAAGCAATCTTGCTGATCTCTTCTTCTGTCCTTGCCCGACATATCGCAACACCCACCCCACCAGGCCCCCTCCCACCCACCCAACAAAAAAAGCTGGCTGAAGTCTTGTGACTGCCATTACATTCAATACCCAACCAAAAGCGATCAAGCGCACACCCTTTCCAGTTTCTCAACAGAACAAGCATGCTCTTTTAAAAATAATTAATTCCATTGATTTAAAAGTAAACACTTCGATGAACCAAGCAAATTCACAGCATTCATCGCTCTGATTACCGTATTTTCAAGATCTCCATTCTTCATCAACACAGAGTTCAAATGTTGAGCCATAGTTTCAGCTTCGTGCTTTTTAAGTTCCAGGTTGGTTCCCTAAAACGGTAAACGATAAAGTTCAATAGAACATGTAGGGAAAGTGCTGTGAGTCTATATTTCCGAAATGTTCAACCAAACAATGTCAGCAAATTGAACCAGCTTCTTGCTAAATATATTACGTGAATTCATGAAAGTATGGCTTCAGTTTTACATGTTGCATAGTAAATATAATATCGATAGTGCAACAAAAAAACTGAACATTTTTTCTTTTTATTGCAACTTCAAAACCTCAAGAATTGTTTCCATTTAAAAGAAGATCCACGCTTGAATTTAAATACTATTTTCTCGACATTTTTCCCTCTGTTTACAGTAAGGCCTTTATATCGGCAAAATCAATAAGACTTTGTACTAACTTGGAAGTTGCATCCATACTTAGAGAAAGGGCAAGCCATAACCACATTGAGACACTGCAACTGATGACTGTTTAACTGCAAACAGAAAGCAGAGTATTATTGATAAAAGTGTTGCAATGGTAAGCAGCTCAAATCAAACACTTTTATAGAGGAATAGTCTAAATGAAAATGGAAGGTGATTCATAACAGCCATCAGAAGAAGACAATAACAAAGAAATGAACTTTACTGTGGAACCTTGTCAAAGTCTTAGAAGTAGCAATGCACAGCTACTGAATACGTTTAAGAATATTTTTCTTTGTTTAAATGGTCTAAAATTTAATGTTAATATTAGAAAGTTTGCCTTCAAATTCTCATGAAGGTGCATCAACCTGAAACATTAATGCAGTTTTCCCTCTGTGATGCCACGAGATCTGAGTGCTTTCAGTACTTTCTTTTATTTGAGATTTCCAGCATTTCTACTGTATGTTGTGTATAATCAAACAACAAACTCATCTTTATTAATCAGCTCAACTTTCTTATATTCTAAGCATATTATGCCATAGTAAGGAACTGAATTTTATTTTTAAGTTTAATGAGTCAAAGGACATAAATGTGTTACAAAATTTTCAGAAACTCTCTCCTCATATAAAGCACTAGAGAGCATTTAGCTCTCGTTCAAGCACAGTTGAGACATTGTATTGCCTACCCTGGCTTTTAGCAATCAAGATTAGACAGCATTATGACTGAGCACATAAAACCAACGACAAATCACCATCTCATTAATTCAGTTTCCATTTAGGAAGGGAATAAGAGACTGTTGTAATGTTACAGTTCAGATTAGGATGCACACTCAGTAAATCCTAAAAATAAAATCCAGGAATCACAACAGAAATCCACTGTCGAAGTGGCTATTTACAGTTACAAATTTCTTCCTCCCCTCCTTTTCCATCAATAGGAATTTTGGCTCTACGCTTTCATTCGAAAGGACACCCTGAATTTTGTGATTTTCTCCTTGCACTATCTACTTGAAATATCCAGCTGCTAAAGCTTAATGCTGTGTTGCAAGGAATTCAAAAGACACCCACTTACCTCTCCCCTCAGAATACGAGCATTGCACTTATTGGGGCATGGCACTGGGAACGATGGACAGTCAAACTCTTCATGTTTCTATAAAAAGGAAGGGAAACCTTCAATTTCCTCAAATACTACTCCCTTCAAAAGACATTACCCATGAGTGTACATTGGTCTTTAACCTTAAATCCATTTGTTTACTTCCAGTCATGAAATCCTTGTACAGTTTTAAATGCAGTTGATTTTAATTAGTTACAATATTATATGTTGAACTGCCCAGGGCAATGACTAATTGAAGACATTTGATCACAAATGTTGAATGTTAATCATGTACATTGAATGGATGTATTAATTTTGCTGCATTTCACTTTCAGCAGCTTATGTTTAAATCTGCCTCACTTCCACCCCCCACCGACCACCTCTCCAACCCACCCAAAAAAAACTTCTCCTCACTTCTGAACAAGTTGGTTTTGGCTGAGAATTGGTGCCACAGGCATTAGTTTCCCAGGACTTCACCAATTGATCTCACTCAAGATAAACTGCAGCCCCGGCATTTCCTTTACGCTGACGGATCTGATTAACATGCTATGCACTTAATACAGGATGCGATTGACTGAAAAAGGTATTAAAAGATTCTGTTTTGTACAGCAGGATACAGGTTTACGTACAGGTTTTATATGGAAGCAACTGCCTACATTCCTGTATAAAATGCAGATCTAGTGTGGCTATGAAAGTGGTCAGTGCTTCTACCTCAGGTTAGGCAGGAAAGGGCAGAAACGCGTTTTACTAGAGGCAGAGGCAGTCACGATTAAAGAAGAATTAGAACCTGGTTTAGTTTTCAATGTGATTCATTTTGTACAAAATCAACAAAAAGCAAATAAAAAACATCCCTGAAGGCCATTATTCTCTTTCAAGTGCTTAGAAAAAAAAGCCAATAGCATCACTTTGGTCATAGGTTTACCCGAGCATTACTAATTTGAGATTAAATTATCACTATTCTGGTTAACACCTCCCCTACCATCACCGGTTACAAAGAACTACTGCCAGATAGGGAATAAAATGTCAAGTATTGTTATGCAAGACAGAAATAACCACAGCGTGTGCCTGAAATCAGAAGCATTCTTATAAAATTACTCAAGCCTTTTGCAAATCTCAGTCGCCGTCAATACTGAACTAAATTAATAGATCATTCTCAGCAGTTGAGGTGGTTACTGTTTTGTTGATACAATATCTCACATCATTTCCAAATCTTCTCTTAGAGTTGCAAGGGAGGGTGTAAAAACTATGCTCTGATTTAGTTTCCCTTTCCTGAAGGATACTGGGCACTTCTCATTTTCGGAGAATAAATATTTATACTTGTTTAGCATCTTTATTAGTTAAACGTCTGAAGACTCTTCACTAGGTCAAGGAGTGACCGCGTTAATGACCAATGACAGAAATACTTATGCTTTTAGCGTAGAAGATTTGTTTATTTAACCAACATTTAAAAGACTTAAGGAACAACTGAGATCACCATAAGGCCATAGATATATGAACAGAATCAGGCCATTTGACCCATCATGTCTGCTCCACATTTCAAACATGTCCGATATGTTTCTTAACCCCATTCTGCTGGGTTCTCCCTGTAACCCTTCACCCCCTTACTAATCAAGTACCTGATCACGATGGAGGAGCTGGCCAGAGTTGATTGGAAGGGGAGCCTAGCAGGGAAGATGATGAGCAGCAATGCCAGGACCACATTGTCCACCTTTACTTTTGCTTTAATTCTGTCCCTGATTTCCCTGGTCAGCCATGGATTCCACCTGCATATTGAAGTCCCCCACAACTATTCTAACAGAAAAAGTATCTAAGAAAGGCACTATCTCCTGATTTATTTTCTTCTCCACATCCTAACTACTGCTAGGAGGCCTGTACATTTTTTTACCTTTGCGACTCTTTAACTGGACCCACAATTAATCTGTGCCTTTCGATTCTATGTCACTTCTTACTATCAATTTAATTTCATTTATTACTAACAAGGTAACACCAGCCCTCTGTTCATTTGCCCGTCCTCTCAACAGGACACATATCCTTGGATATTTAGTTTCCACCCTGATCCCCTTGCAGCCACATCTGTGTGATATCCGTAACATTGTATGTGCCAATTTCAAACTGCACTACAAGCCCGTTTATCTTGTTTCACGTGCTGCGTGCATTTAAGTACAACACACTCTGCTCCCCCCACCCCCCACAACACCCTGTCTCATAAGTGTCCCCTGATCTGCTGTGACTGAGGATAGATTCCTGACTCTTTCCATACTCTCTGTCCAATTCCTTGTTCTGGAAACTTTAATAACCTCTGCTGAGCCCTCCCGGCCTTTAACTTTTTCCACAATTTTCCATGCAACTAACCCTCCACCGTTTCCCCCCCACCAAACTAATTAGTTTAAAGCCCTACCCACAACCCCAGTTATGTGATTCGCCAGGCCTCTGGTCCCAGCAAGATTCAGGTGGAACCCATTTCATCAGAAGAGCTCCCTCCTTCCTCAGTACTGGATCCAACAACCCATGGATTCGAACATGTTTCTCCCACACCAATCATTCAGTCATGCTTTATCCCTTTAATCTTGTTGACCCTGTGCCAATTAGCTCATGGCTCAGGTAATAATCGGGACATAATTACTTTTTTGGTTTTGCTTTTCAATTTAGCATTCACGGAATCAATCAAAATGGTGGCATATGAATGTGGAAAGGCATTTATTAATTGATAACAATAAATTACTCCAAAACTTCCAGCAGGATTCTAGTTGTTCTTCAATATATTTGGAATGTTAGATCTCATAAACATAAGGAGCATTGCTGATGAGAGATGAAATAACAAACAAACATACATTTATTTCAATGGTGTTCTTACTTTTAAGTCAACAATAGCAATCTCGTTCCTGCAGTATTTACAGGTTTGTTCTCGATATTTACAGCTTGAATTCAAATGGTCAGCTAAATCTTTCCTTTGCATCATTTCTGTGCATCCCCTGCGTGCACAGCAGACTTCCTGGTGAGGACATTCAAGTAAGTGACCCTTTAAGAGAAAAAATAAAAAAAATAAATGTTGGCATTGACATTATTTCCTCCAATATGGAAACATAATTTTGATTTTGGGGGATATAGTAGAATATTGGTTACATTACTGGACTAGTAATGATCTGGAGACTCTGACTGCAAAGCCCAGTATAGCAGCTGGGGAATTTAAATTCAGTTAATTAAAATCAACCTGGAATAAAAGATGACTATCAGCAACGGTGACTATGAAAATACTGGGTGGTGAACAAAACCAACTGGTTCACTGGTGTCCTTTAGCGAAGGAAATCTGCCATCCTTATTCAGTCTAGCCTCTACGTGACTCCACACACATAGCAATACAAGTGGCTCTTAATTTTCCTCTGAACTAGCCTAGCAAGTTACTCAGTTAAATGCAGCTTTGCATAACATGCAAAGATGCACTGCAGAAATTTTTCAAGGCTCCTTAGATAACACCTTCTAAACCCATGATCATAACCATCTAGAAGGAAAAGGGCAGCAGATATATAGGATCACCACCACCTGCAAGTTCCCCTCCAAGTTTCTCACCATGCTGACTTGGAAATATATCACCTGTTCTTCGGAGTTGTTGGGTCAAAATCCTGGATCTCCTTCCCTAATTGCATTCCCACCCTGTAGCACATGGGTTGCAGCATTTCAAAAAGAAAGCTAACCACCACCCTCTCAAAGGCAATAAGGGATGGGCAGTAAATCCTGGCCCAACCAGCGACGCCCACATCCCAAAAATGAATAATAAAAATTCAAGATAGCACGTCAACACCACTTTCTCAAGAGCATTTAGGGATGGATGTTAAATGCTGGTCTTGACAGTGACGTCCACTTTGTTTATCATATATACATATAAAAAATATAAAACAATCAATCAATAAGCCAAGGACCACATAATTATCTCATTAGTGATGCATTGAATACCTTCTTAAATTGTTTAATTAAATTCTCAAACTATAACCCTCATAACACAATCTTGTCAGTTGTCATAACATCTAGACCTTTTGACTTTTGCATATATTATAATTACATGCAACACGTTAATATTTTAAGAATTAACAAAGAGGCTTTAGAATTCTACAAACCAAATTAAAACTTAATAATACCTCAGTCCAATCATTATATAAAAATAAATCAAAATAAAGAATTTTCAAGTTAAGTTAGATGCTGAATCATATCATTTACCTCAAGATTTCCAAGAGGTAGCTGTTTCTTGCAGCCATTTAACTCATTCCTACAGAAGATGTGAAGTGCAAGAACTTCTTTTTTACAGCAGATGTCCTTGAAAATCTTTGAAAAAACAATAAATGACATGCTATGTCAAAATTAGTCTCGATTAAAATTCCAAAATTGAATTTAAGAACTATTATACAATTCTCTTGCCTACCGTATTCTCAAATAAAGGCACATTATCCACTGGACAAACGGGTTTTGGACTCCTAGAAACATAAAACATCAAATAAACATAATAGCCACTTAATTTAAATCCTAAATGGCACAGAAATAATGTTTTGGTTACATAACTCAGACATACAAAAGGGCACATTTTTCTTTTAGTTCTGTAGCACTATTCAAGTAATATTACCAGAAACATTCCTCTCTAGATTCTATTAGTGCATCAAAAAACACTGTAGGGGTTGCCTATCACCATATCTATATATTTATTTTAATGCTAATACTTCAACGCTCTAGAGTTGATATCTCTCGAAGCTCTAGATCAGAATCTCTCATTTTCAATTGTCATTTCTTTGAAGACTTGAAAAGTAAATTACCCCTCATAAGAACATAGGAACTAGGAGCAGGAGTAGACAAATCAGCCCCTCAAACCTGCTCCACCAAGCAATACCATCATGGCTGATCTCATCTTGGCCTCAACTCCACTTTCCTGCCTGCTCTTCATAACCCTTCCACCCATTACTAATTAAACATCTGTCTATCTCCTTCTTAAAATTTGCTCAATGTCCCAACATCTACCACACTGGGAGAGTGAATTCCACACATTCACAGTCCTTTGAGAGAAGTAATTTCTCCTCCTCTCTGTTTTAAATCTGCTACCCCTAATCCTAAAACTATGACCATGGATGTAAATTGTAAATCAATCCCCAAGAAATCCCTAGAAAGAAAACGAAGTAAATTATTTTCAATAACAGAAGATAAGCCTTTGGTCTGAATGATATTTTCTCACACTCGAAGTTGTGATGTTCCACTATTAGTCCAAATTGACCCCAAAAGAAATCATGGAATAATTATTCCTCATGAACTTGGATTGCTATCACACTGTTATTATTCTCTCTCAAGAATCAGTCAATTAACAAGAATTTAATAATTGACACCTTTCCTTGTTCAACTTGGTATTTCACTTTCACTGTCGCATAGATAATAGTTTGCAAAATATTTGTAAATTTTTTATTCAGATAAAATAAGTTCAAGTTGAAATATGTCAAGTTAGTCCACTCATCTAACTATGATTGCAATATATGAAGGGGGTCATTCATTTTAATCAAAATTATACATCAGAATTTCTAATAAAGTATTCCTTACCCAATGATTTTCCTTACACAACTTTCACAGAATCTGTGGCCACACTCAGTCTGTTTGGGATTGCAGAGTGCAAGATGACAATATTCACATTTGTATTTATTTTCCAGTTTCAGCACAAACTTCTCCTTGAAGCCCCCATCTTCTGGTTCAATGTTTAGAGATGCCAGCCTGCTAATCGGAACATTAGCCACATTGGCCTGCTGCATTAGGGACAGTTGCGGGGCTGATGACTCTATGTTTCTTGCAGTTGCCATGGCCAATGGCCGTCCAGATCTATAAGAAAATATGCTTTTAGTACAATTGCATCAACTAATCCTATGCTTTACTGAGTTCCATATTTTGGGTCACCCTTAGCTCAGGTATTTAATAAGTCACCAGAAAACTAAATAGATTGAGCTTGGGTTTATATGGTCTATCATTCAGATTAATTGACTCAAGCCACGGAAGCTTCCCTGTTCCTGTCTGGTTAATACAAAATACCAGGGAGAGGAGTAGAACAATAAAGAGTAGCTTAGAATTTTCTCCAGGGATATGGAGCAAAGGAAAAAGCAGTCTTACTAATTTAGGGATTCCTTTCTAGTTGGTCGCACAGTTTATGGAATATTGTTTTGAAGAATCACTCTGCACATTCCTCATAGTGACATGGCATCATAGCAGTGATCAAAATGTAAACATTAAAGCGAAAGATCAATTTCTCAGCTTCAATTAGTGAATCTTAACAGATATGGTAATAGAAAACTTTATTAAACCTCATTTCAGTGCTGATGGCACAGACTCAAAGAACATAAACCATTAATAAACAAATCCTAGACAACAAGGTGCAGGGCTGGATGAACACAGCAGGCCAAGCAGCATCATAGGAGCAGAGAGGCTGACGTTCTATATCTCTGATTCGAATAAACAAATCCTATTGGGAGATGCCTAATAGACTGGGATTTTTTTCTCCTGGAGCATTGAGACTGAGGGGTGACCTTATTGAGGTTTGTAAAATCATGAGGGTTATGTATAGGGCTAATAGCTAAGCTCTTCTTCCCAGAGTAGGGGAGTCCAAAACTAGAGGGCATAGGTTTAAAGTGAGAGTGAAAAGACTTAACAAAAGGACCTGGGGGGACAACTTTCTCATGCAGAGGGAGGTACGTGTATGGAATGAGCTGCCAGAGAAAGTGGTGGAGGCGGAAAAAATTAACACATTTAAAAAGGTATCTGGATGGGTATATGAATTGGAAGGGTTTAGAGGGATATGTGCCAAATGCTGGCAAATGGGACTAGGTTACTTTAGGATACTTGGTCAGCATGTTCAAGTTGGACTGAAGGGTCTGTTTCCGTGCTGTATAACTCTACGACTCTATAAATTTGACACAAATGGTCACTAGATGCACAGTCTTACTCTGACAGAGTGTTTACCAACAAAAGCAGAAACGCACAATGTACATTCAATTGCCTGAATCAATTCTTTCTTCTCCAAACTAAAATCAATACGAACTTTATATTTTATATAGAAACAAGCTCAAGTCAATTAAATGGTGCTAAAGCACCTTATTGCAGCAATTCTATGTTATGGCTATTTTATCAGCATACAAACAAGGAGCAGGGGTGGGCCACTCAGCTCCATAAGTCAGAATTTAGAAGACCCATGACCCTCTGTAAGAATAACATTATCTTCATAACTGTTATAAATTGGTAACCCCTTATTTTGAAATAGGTGGCTCCTAGTTCAAGGTTTTCCACAAAAGGTGACACCCTATCCACATCTCCCCTGTCAAAGCTGCTCAGGATTTGATATATTTCAATCAATATGCCTCATTCTTCTAAACTCCGTACCAAAGATAAAAATTTTATTGTAGGTAAAATACTAAAGACACTGACTTAATCAAACATGAAGCCTGAAACATGGCCTTCTGGCAACACATTACTAGGTTTTCTGCCCCTACGAGTACTGTCACTGAGAAAAATAAAGTTGCTCATCTGAAGATCAGCAATGTAGCAACAAAACAAGCGATATAGCAAAACATGGGAGCAGAGGTAGGCCATACGGCCCATCAGGTCTGCTCACTATTCAATGAGATCGTGGCTAGTTTGATAGCCCTCAACTCCACTTTTCTGCCTTACCTCCATAACTCTCAATTCCCTTGCTGATTAAAAATCTGTCACTCCCAGCCTTGATCATACTTAATAAACCTCTGCTATGAACAATTTCAGAGATTCACTACCCTCGGAGAGAAATTCCTCCTCATCTCTGTCTTTACCGAGTGACTCCTAACACTGAGATTAGCCGTCTAATCCTAGATTTTCCCCACAAGGGAAAAGCAACTCTCTGCATCGTTTCCATTAAGCCTCCTCAGAACGTTATACGTGTTTCAATAAAGATCTCCTCTCATTCCCCCAAACACTGAGCACAAGCCCAAACGACTCAACCCCTCCTCCTAAGACAATCCCTCCATACCTGGATTCAGTCTGGTGAACCTTCTCTAGACTGTCTCTAATGTTAGAAACTGGCAACAAAACTGTTCACAGCTCTGGTCTAACAAATGCCTTGTGTAGTTTGAACAAGATTACCCCATTTTTAAACTCCACTCCTTTTGGAAACAAGGCCAACTGTCCATTTGTCTTCCTTCTCACTCGTTGAACTTGGATGCTAGCTTTTTTGTGATTGATGCATGAGGACCCTCAAATTACACTGTGCTGTAGCTCTCTGCAGTCCAGTTAAATAATGTTCAGCTCCTCTATTCTTCTTGCCAAAGTGCATAACCTCACATCATCCACGTTATATTCCAACTACTAAGTTTTTGCCCACTCAATTAACTTGTCCATATTCTGCTTTATTGTCATCCTCACAACTTGCACTCCTGCTTGTTTTTGTGCTGTCCACAAACTTGGCTATTGCACATTGACTTCCCTGCACCGTCATTAATACATAAATAACAGTAGCCCCAGCACTGATCCCTATGACATTCCACTAGTTAAAGGTTGCCATCCTGAAAGTTCAATTCTTATCCCAACTCTCTTTATTCTATTAGTTAGCCAATATATAACATATACTATCACCAACACATTAGAATCTGATTTTTTAAGGTACCACACATAAGGCTACTTCTCCCTGCCTTTTGGGAATCCAAATATATTACATCCATTGGTTCCCCTTTATCCATCCCGCCTATTACTTCCTCAAAGAATTCTAATAAATTTGTCAGGCATGATGTTCCATTCATGAAACTATAATGACTCATTCCATTATCTATTTTGAAATGCTCTACCATTACTTCCATTATAATAGACTCTAACATTCTCTGAAATACAAATGCTAAGATAACTGGCCTAGTGTTACCCGTTTTTCATTTCTCTCCTTTTTTGATTAAGGATGTCACATCTTTCAATCCTCTGGGACTATAAAATACAAGAATACAACCCATCAGGCACAAGGGACATATCAGCCTTTAGCCCTGTTAGCCTGTCTAGTGATTATTATTATATTTGAAAAGCATAAAACAAGAGCTAATGTACCATTGAGGATCTTGTACTTCACTGCATATCTGAGAATAATACTGAGCTACACCACAAATTATTTTATACTAAACAGGAAATATGCCCTTGTTTATAGATTAGTTAATGAGTTGGGGTACCTGAGTCAAAAATGAACAATTCTAAGGGCTTCTTAAATTAGAAATTTACAGCCAAAGTTGGAGAAAGGATTATATTTTCGTAAAAGTGTGCCAACGTTTGACAATTAATGATCACTCATTATCTAACCAGTGCATTCACCATGGCAATACCTCTACTAATCAGGGTCCACTTGCCAAACAACCAGCACTCTCCTTTCATACAGTTTAAATGGCGTTTTCCTTTACATTCTTCTCCTTCGATAAAATGTCTTTTTTCAGCAATACTCATTTTGACATGTCAAATTCCAACACATTAGCCAAGGCAATTCACAACATACAAAAACAAGAAACAATTTTGCAAATAAAATAACACAACATTTTTTTTAAAAAATGGCAATTCACTATCTCACAACGTTAATGGATCTTTTAAAAAATAAATCTAGATACAAACTCACATCTTGGCTAAAAACATATCATTCCTTTTTTTGCACGATACCTGACCTGTGCATCGAATTTCACTGAAATCTGTCCAACACTTTGTTTGGAGGCAGGGCTGGATTTTACGAAGCACCGCAGTTCTCTCACACCCCAATTAAAGGTAGAGCAGGTTGGGAGGGGAGGTGCTGGTTAACCCTGCTCTTAATGCTGGTGGCTGCATCTCACAAATCACTTCAAAGATGAGGCTTCTACCCATCGATGGAGGAAATACAGCCTTAAGGAATGATTAATCAGTTGGATGGTTGGCAGTTCTGCAGTTCCACCACAACGAGGAGCTGAGTGTCTCACAGCAAAGATTGGCAGGTGGGGTTGGGTTCAGGAGGAGGACTAAAGGGAGCAGTAACATCATGGTGGGTGTGCCTATAACGGGACCAGCAGAAGATGATCCATCACCCTCCTGGCCCAACACCAGCCTCCCACATAGCTTGGGTCTTCCTATGAGTAGGTAAAATACTAGTAGGAATGGGAGGTGGCCTTTACAAAGCCATCAAATAGCCACTCATGGGCCTCAATCAGGCCTAAGGTTGGACAGTCTGCCTGACAAATACCCTGTCGTGCCACCTTCCCTGTTAAGTACAGATTGGTCAGGTTGGATGGGATAAAATACACTGGATTTTCCGTGCTCATCCTTCAACCCCACTGGTTGGGAAGCTTAACATCCAGCCCTCAGTGTTACTCTGTTTGTCGGCAAACAAACAGGGGTAGGAACTTTCAGCAGTGGAGATTAGACACTAGCAGTAGGAATCCAATTACACTTTAACAAATGGACACTGCCTGCTAAATGTGGTAGAAATATATGTTCAAATGTGCTTTTATAGCATTTAGATGTAGTGATACAGATTCAACGATAGCTTCATTTCAACACTATAGAAAAATCATAGAATTTAACAGTACAGAAGACAGCCCGAGTCACAATGTGTCTGTACCAGCTCCAGAAAGAGCTTCCCAGCTTGTCCCACTCTCCAGCCCTATCTCCACAGTCCTCTAAATTCATCACTTTCGAATATATATCCAGATATATTTTCAAACGTATCACAGATTCCACTTCCATCATTCTCCCAGGCTGTGCATTTCAAATCCGAACAATTCTCCGAGTAAAGAGTTTCTCCTCATCTCACTCCCAGCTGACAACCTGGAAATTGTGACCCCTAGTTACTGACATATCTACAAGTGGAA